GACACTAGAGAGAATGCAGCTTTAACACATGAAGCATTGACTTCACTTATTCGGCGGAGGTTGCTGCCTGGTTTGAACTCTTCTATGAGTGAGTGTGCAAATGGGGAGAAATGCTTCTGTTCACATGAAACAAACAGACTTTTCCGTCAGGTGCTCACCTCACTGAGCTGTCTGAGAGCCAGCCTGCATCGCACTGCTCGTATCCGCTGTGGTAGGCGGCCAGGAGCTGCTCCGGAGTGGCAATCTCAGCCCCGATCTCCTCGCAGGCCTCTCTGGCTCGCTCAAAGGTGAAGGCGTACCGGCTGGATGCATCGCGGTAATGGAACACCACCCCTGTCAAAAAAAAAAAAGCAATAGTGTGTTATGTGATCATTCATGCAAAGAGGCATTAGAGGCAGGGAGAAATACAGAATGCAGTTACGCCAGTTTCCATAAACCACCTTTACGTGAGTATTTCAAATAGGACAGGATTGCGTAATTAAGTAGCAACAAGCACCAATAATTGTGCTACATCAGGACATTTCATTGCTGCTTTCTACATAAGATGTCATTTGTATATTAATGAATTAGTCTCTTATGAGCTGCGTGCAGTTTGGTGGTTTTATTTGTCACCTGAGGCGCGTTTCCACCAAGAAGATCCCGGTCATTTTAGTCCCAGGACAACTTTTCTACGAACTAGAAGCCAGTTGTTGTTTTGATGAGGGCTGCTGATGGTCGCAGGGGTAAACACGCCTGTTTCATCAAAAAACGATTTTTTTAGCTGTTGTTTTTAGTCTCTGTCTTTTTTTAATTAGTTGGGAAGATGAGAACAAAGCTAACTTTACTTTTAATGTTATCAAGTCAAAGAGAAATGCTCCACCCTCATAATAAAATGTTCTTAAATAGATACTTCCTTGTTTTAGGAATGAAGCAGAAAGTGCTACCCCTCAACAAGGGCTTTTTGGGGGGTAGAATGTACCCAAAAAGGTCCCCAGAACTTAGTTTAGACCCTGGTCCTTGCATTTGAAATGCAATGAGTTCGAAATGAGAGTCACAAAAAGGGGCTTATGGTGATAAAGAGAAGTTCACATCTGCGGTGGTGAAAAATGACAACAAAGTACATTTACTCAAGTACTGTACTTACTTTGATCTTGAGTATTTCAATTATATGTAAGATTTCAGATGGAAATACTCAACTCTTTACTATCTGAAAGCCGTACTGATTTAGTATTTTACACACAAAACATATGATGGGTTTACAGAACGTGATGTTGCTGTTATTTCGTCCAGTCTGTTTAACATTAAAAACAACAAAACTTCATGAGCTCCACAGACGCAGACGCAGACTCCATTGCTTCGGCAGGTGTTCCTGTTATTTTGCTTTTCAAAAAAGCTTGGCGTTAAAAAAAAAGGAATCGACCTCACCTTTGACCTTGATCTGAGCCACGTCGTCGGCGTCCTCCAGGCCCTGCTGCACCTCGCAGCGGTAGAAGCCGGTGTCGTTCTGCCTCAGGCCCTCCAGCCGCAGGGTGAGGTCGGCGGGGGAGGAGGCGTAGTTGAGCAGCGAGGCTCGGTCCTTGTAGGCCTCGCTGACTCTCACCCTGTCGCCGCGGGCCACCAGGATCTCCGTCTCTTGGCCGTGAGTCAGCACGCTCCATTTGACCCGGGGGAGGGACAGCACGGCGTGGCGGCCGTTGGTGGAGGGGGACGGCGGCGGGTGGGCCAGGGACACCAGGCAGGGCAACGTCAGAGAGCCGCCCAGCACGGAGACCACGGGCGGGGTGCTGGGGATGGTCACCTGGAGCAGCTTCGAATCATCTGAGGAGAGGCGAACATTCATGTCTGTGTGTTACAGAGTTGGAGCCGCGAGACTAGTTTAGCATAAAGACTGGAAGCAGGGGGAAACAGCTAGCCTGGCTGTGTATGTATAAACTGATAAAGCTCCTCAAAGTTACTGTGAGGAACTTTTAACTGGTCCTGAACCAGTCTCAGTTCAGTCCTGATCCTCTATATGACCTCCATCAGTAAACGAGACCATCAGAGAGAAGATGTTCTGTTTCTATGTAGTTATTCTTCATGCTCGTCATCGGGGCCACCGGGTCGGATTCTGGTGAAACCAGAAAACCTGCATCCACTCATTAGAGCCAAAGCTTGACATTTAATATCAGACAATATCAAAAATGTTATTGGACAGAGGAGATTGATTACTAACAGTGTAGCTATAGGCATATAGTATATACTGTGTATATATATATATATATATATATACACTATATGCCTATAGCTATACTGTGAGTGTATATATATTGTATATATATACATATGCATACATGCACTGGATGATACATGTATCGGTGTTATAATGAAATCTGTCAACATTGTCAATGCAGCACAGCTAAAACACAAACAAACAGCTGCATCGGTCTGGTTTCCTGCAGGGACAATCCTTGAAAACGTCCTCCAGAGTGTGCGCGCCAGCAAAAAACAACGACCGACAGGAAATGATTTAACGGCACCCCGCCGCCCTTAAAGTCAGAGGTCATATATGGTCATTTAATGGAAGGTTGGATGTCAGTAGAGGGGGGGGGGGGGTGTACCTGACTCCTGGTGGTGGGTAGAGGACGACGGCAGGACGAGGAGACAGATGGCACACAGCAGCACAGGTAGAGACACATCCAGTCTGCAGGTGAAGGACGAGAAAGGAGGGAGGGGACCAGAAGAGTTTATTTCCCCTCAAGCAGAAGTTTTGGTACCTTGCTGTCATTTTATAGAAATAAATTAAAGTAGAAATATATTAAAATAACTGCTGGAACAATACTGGTGTCGGAATTAATTAACTGGAAGAACAAATACACTTTAAAAACTGCTCCTATGTGACCGATTGTCATGTTACAGCGTTTTATTTTAATTATTACGTTAACTCCAAACTAATTAGGAATATCTCAAAAAAATCTTTTTCTTCAGTGTTTTAAAAATGAATTCAAAATACGTAAAGACCAAACTTCCCACAACAGCTGGTTGACACAAAGATTGATTTATTAGTTAGCTTGGAAGACCGCAGAGACAAAAACACATATCGACTTGATACTCCGAGCCATTCATCAAAATCAGAGAAGCCAAGCGGCCGACATTCATCAAATATTTTAAACTGCGCCTGAAGCCGGTGAGCCGCAATCAGCAGAACGTCTGCAGGAAGACGGACCGGATGATGACGTCATCCATCATGTTCACACCAACTGTTGGTCATGAGGATCGTTTCAGACGTTGTTTTAGGGTTCTGTTCAGGTCGTTTAGGATGAAATCTTTTATTTGGTTGTATTCAAAATGATTATTAATGATTTTTGGATTGCATTTTTGTTCTTATTCTGATTTGAGTCATGTTTTTTGTTATCTTATGTCGTATGTAACGCACTGTTTTTGCTCTTTATAGGAGATCAGTGAGGCTCTTGTGGTTAAATAAAGGTTTAACTTACAAACCTGAAGATCTCTGGAGGTTTTTGATTGCCATCTTCTCAACGCCGATATTTATTTCTTTTTTTCTTTGGATTTTTGAATTGTTTTTAAAGTTTCATCGTCGCTCTTGTCTTTGTTTGTTCGGCCAGAGTAACCTTTTACTCGCAGCGCTAGCAGAGCCCGGAGAAAAACAAACACCAGTACGACGCTTCAGACGCACTGAGCCGCTTGGGATTCTTTTTAACGGGAAGGCCACAGACATCCGGTTCTTAACACTGCAAATGTGAGGTCACTGAGTTATGGTATATCTCACTCAGCAGTAGAGAATGACTCAACATTTATTTAAATTAAATCTAAGAGAGTATTACTCTTACTTATTACAGTGTGAAGGGAAACCTGTAAAGGAATCAACGGCTTTGCAGGTTGAAATTGATGCACATTAACAAATGTTATTACTCTAAATCAAGGAATATCTGTCCGTATGTATAAATATACTGTATATACACATATATAAATATATATATGTATGTATGTATGTATGTGTCCTTCGCACGTCTCGACAACTGTTCATCTGATCTTGGTGCTGTGATGAATTTGGTGCGATTTGGACGCGTGGGGGGGCTTTGGGTCGAGCATGTCGTCCGGCTCCTTGACTGCGGTTCACTGTTGCTGCTGGATGCTTTATGTACTTTAACGTGAAAACAGAACTCTTCGAGAGATGAGCAGCACCTCTGGGGCTCAACCAGAGTCCCGAAAGGGCACCGAGTTCAGTCAATAATCATGTAAATAAATAAAAGTAAAGTGCACGGCTTGCAGTTGTACGTGCTGAGGTTTTGACAGAAACATGTCGACTCTCTCCTCACTATTAACTGCATAGAAACATGATGAAACGAGAGTTTTCAGTGGAGCAGACGGACAGAGGGACCGTCTGTGTGTCCTTGGAGCTTTCTAGCTGCAGTGAGTCAGACTTCAGGAGCTGCAGGACGTGAGCTGAATCCTGATTCCCTCAAAAACTCCCCGGAGGGTCGGACCGAAGCCCAACCTCCAACCTAACTAGATTTACACCATTATTACCGCTCCTTTTATCCCACACTATATTCACTTTTCTTCTTTTCTATCCTGTTTGTTGTCTTTGTCGTGTTGTAATTAACATCTTTTTTTCCCCTGCTTGGTGGTTTCTCTTCTTCTCTGACCGGCTGTGTTGAGAAAGACTTTGATCCAACAACAGAAAGCCTTTTATCACCAAAAAGCTGAAAACATCGAAGGGTCCTAATGGTCGTTAGAGGTTTTTAACAACCTGGTGGACACTGAAATGCTGCCACCAAGAATCTCTGACTCCAAACACTTGTCTACTGACTGTTACTGTATACCTTCCTGTTATATTACGGCTTGAAATAAAAGTATTATGTGTGCATGTTTGCTTGATTGACAGGTGAGTCCTTCTTTGAACCGATCAAGCATGGTTGTTGTTGACACTTCAGCTCCACTCAGCTTCCTTCTTACTGGTTTAAATCTGGCGTAACAGGTGACTCCTAAAGGTCTGAAGGACCCCATGAGAAAAAGATAACAAAACTAAACACAAGGATACAACAGAAGGGCTTACTGGCTCCACCAAGCACCACATGAATTCATTTATTTACTTGTTTATTTTTAATTCATCATTATTATTGGTATTGTTGTTATATATTAGTATATTTACAAATACATTTTTGTATGTATATTAGTTTTAATTATTATATACCTTTGTCTTTTTCCTTAACATTAATATTATTATCAGTGATGATGATTATGGTAATAACAACAATGATGAAAATAATAAGAATAAGAATATAGGAATAAGAATACCGTTATTTCTTTAGCTATTAAATTACTCATCAATGTTATTATAATTACAATTTATTTACGCACCATATCAGATCATTACATCTAATTCATACTGTCCATCTTTTGTTAATGTGTATATTTTGTGTAACACCATTGTCTGTAGAATTTGTCACCTTTTTGTTTAGCAAAAAGCTAAAGAAAAAGAAAAAGAAGGAAAACAATCATCTAATAATTAGTCCTCTTTTTCTCACGTGAATAAAAAAAGGAGAAATTTGACATGATGCTACATGCACATTTTCTTTAATAGCAAAGGAACATAAAAGATGTGATTCACTACCTGTGTTATGTTAGCAGCCTTCATTTAGTAGAACACACAGGAATTCACAAACAATGGATTGCGGCCGCTGATAGCAACGTGAATTTAGCTTCACTTCCAACACCGACACCACGCTGCTGGAGACCCAGGACGTATTGCTGGACCCGCTGGAGGGAAGGGAGGAACCAGGACTGAGAGGGGCAGACTGTCAGAACCTGCTGCAGTAAAAGGGAGTCTGGTGCTCAGAGACACTACCACTTTAGTCCACAGGGGGCGCCAGAATCAACACTAAATAAAGGTTCCTCACAGTAGCTTTAAATTTAAACAACAACAGCGTTTGAAGATGAATGTCTGCTTTTCTGTGGCAGAAGCAGAAAGTGAATAAAGGATCAGATGCTCCAGCTGGGGAAAAATAAATAAATAAACAGTCGAGCTGCACAAAGTGTAAGTAAAACTGATTCCAATTGTTGTGTTTTTGCGGAAACATTTGTCAGCTCCTTCGAGTACAAACAAACCAACACAAACAGGAAACAGCTGGTGACCTCCGACACCTTCACCGACTCCACGGCAACAAGGGCCGAGACCTGTCAGCGTTTCACCTGCAGGTCTGACTCCACAAGCAGTTCACCTGGAAGAACTGAACGCAGAGTTCAGGAGAGCAGAGACATTACAATTACTGTGCGTCAAACTTCCCTTTGACTGAAAGGAGTATTAATACCGGACGTGACGGAGGAAAATGAAAGTTTGTTTTGTAGGTCTCAGCAGAGACACATTTCTAATCAAAATAGGATTAATAACTAATCACTCAGCAGCGCTTTTAATGCCTAAATCTGGCTCCGTCACTCCAAAAGGAAAGCTTTGGAGACAGAAACGCCACTCGTGACAAAGCTGGCCGTTCGAATCGGTTCACCGAACGGAGCAGCAGATGGATACAGTCGATATCCATCAGATACAGTCGATATCCATCAGGTACAGTCGATATCCATCAGGTATAGTCGATATCCATCAGGTATAGTCGATATCCATCAGGTACAGTCGATATCCATCAGGTACAGTCGATATCCATCAGGTACAGTCGATATCCATCAGATTCTTTCTGTTATAAGAAGTAAAGTTGGCATCTTTCAGAGAAACTGAAGGAGCGAGGTCATTAAGACCCTGAAGACGTGTTTTAGCATGAAACATCCATTCACGTATTTCTAATAGCCAACCAAAGCTGAACATTTAACTATTCTTAAATCGAATAAGAACTATTTTCCTTCATTAAGAACTTCTCTGGAATAATCTCATTGGGGGGCAAAGCTCTGCTGATCCAGGCCTTTTTTCTGTTCACTGTGATCTCTCCTAATTTCACAGGCTGGGAACACAAATCACTTTTTTCACCTCGTTTACTAGTGAGCTGGCTACCACATGACGTAACTTTAGTGGTTTCAGCTTCCCGTCATACTGGTTTCACTTTCTCTATACATCCTGAAGATCTTCCACCGATGTCTCTCCGTTCAAATCTACCAATCCCTTCATTCCAAACTGATCAGCTATCTGTCTGGCTCAGTCGTTCTGTTTCTTGGCCTCAACGAGAAGAGGGGGAGGGAGAAAGAGAGAGGTTGTCCTGCAGGCCGGGGACGCATCCCGGGCAACATCAGAGGTGCAAAGACCGGCATCACAAGTGGCTGAATAGTCAATGACTTCACCTTGAGGGAAAAGACGGCAGAGGCCAAGAGAGAGGATGTTTGACCGCTCGGTTTGCCAGGAAAGGTCATTTGAGGCTGGGAGAGAAGGGGGGGACTACATTCTTAAAGAGCTGCACCAGCTTCGTGAGAGTTTTGGCCCATTTGTAGCTTCACCCAGTGTGTTTAATGGGAGGGCTGGTGCTCCGGTAGAAAGTCCAGCACTGCACACATTCATCTGAGATCTAAACTACAAATTAGACCATTTAAAAAGTGAGTTACATCTTCTATGTCTCTCAGACAGGAGAGGAGCATTCAACACTTGTGATCGCTTTTCTTACAACTATTTCATCTTTCATTGCACCGATCACGAGGTAAACAGCAGAAATACAACGTTCACGATGAACTGATCGTCGTGATGTTGCAGCTGCTGCAGCTAACTAACGTTCATTTGCTGAACAACTTGCCAAAATAAAACGTGACTATTGTCAAGTTAATAAGAGTGATGAGCTCAACAAACTCTTTTAATTTGATTTGATACTTTTTGTTACAAGTTAAACTAGAATACTGATACCGATCATTTCTGGAATGGGGATGTGAGAGGAGCTACACTTAAAGTTAAATCACATGACAAACACCGCCATTAATAACAAATTCATTACAAAAACAAATATGAGGATAATTCAATAAAAATGTTTGTGCGAATAAAATAATTTGTCAAACATAATTTGATTAAATAACAAAAACCTCCTTATAATTTTCGGGGTGTGTTGTTTCTAAATGTTTGAAGATGTTCCTCGTGTTGCTGTTTGGCACTTTATTGACGCTAATAGAGCATCGTGCTGTATTTCTTATCTTCAGGTGAGAAGTAGCACCACACCTCGTTATGTTTCCTTTGCTTCTCTCTCAGTGTGAAGGGAAAGACAGTTCCTCCTCTTTGATTAGAAGTCATCACCAGGCAAGTTACAATTCTCAAACTCTAACCCTCTAATCCACGGTCTGTTTAACCCCAGTAGCACACTGCAGAGTTACAGATGAAGATCAGGCTACACTACTATTATTAGTATTGTACTATTTGTAGAATTAGATTACAGTGTTTGGTTGCCTCAGATTGTTTCAGACTTGTGTGATCCAAACATTTTCAAGAACTCCAGAGCTTTGTAAAGTCCAAAAGTCAACATTCATTTAAAAAAAGTTAGATTTAATCATTTCCACAATTCACATCATGTTTTTATCTGACAAAATATTCAGCTTGATCCATATTTGTTGTCAAAAACAACATTTTCTCAGTGGCCACACACCTGTTTGCTCTCCCACATGCTGTTCTAGCAGCAACATAAACTGCATTTATTTGACCGCAAGAACACAACAAAAACTATTTGAGCTCTAATACTGTGATAGTGAATTACTTCAGTCATTACAAACACAAAGACTATGTTACGTATCTGCATTCACTTGGTCAATCGCTTATTTATGTGGATGAAGCTGAGGAGGCACATTCATGTAATATTTTATAAAGGTAGCTGTGGGACCGCTGTGCTAGTTGATATGGTTGTTGTACGGTTGTACTACATGTTATTGTTTTCATTGCTGTCGTTGTTGTATATATACCCAACATATACCCATGTTTTGTAGTTGTACAATTTTATTATAGAAATGTGCATTTTTTTTAAAGGAATCAATAGCAAAATGAATCTTTGAATTTTAGTTATGACTTACAAATATTGAGAGCTAAACCTGAATGGCTTGAATACGGGATTATAGAGGGTTCAGATTTGATATGCAAATTCAAATTGAGATTAATAATAAAGAAATCAATAAACGCTGAGGAACCGAGTGACCTCTGCCTTCTGGACTCCGTGTTTCACACAAAGACCACAAAGACCAACACAGCCTCTCTTTGCCTCTTTCAGGTTTGAGAACCACTCGCTCAGGATCGACCCGACGCCACCGCTCCCACATCACGCCACCTCCAATGACTCGGTGGGCCCCCCCCCCCCCCCATCCTGACTGACACAATCCGACAGGAAGCAAGGAGCAGCCGGGGAGGGCTGGAAGCAACCGAGAGACCTCTCAGAGAAGAAGAAGAAAGAGACTTGAGTGCTGAGAGAGACGTTAAGGTCATGGGAGGGATCGGGGAAACGAGTCGGCCTCCAGCAAGCAGCAGCAGCAGCAGCCACGTCGTATTAGCTGTTAGCCACTGACTCCGAGTGCCTGACCCTAACCCTAACCCGGCAAAACCATTACAGAAGTGGCAAAAGCCATAAACCACAAGGCTCTGGTGTGTGTGTGTGTGTGTGTGTGTGTGTGTGTGTGTGTGTGTTTTAGTCTGCATGCCAAAAGCTGACGAAGCAAAATTGCAGTGAGCCTTAAGGGCTTATACCTCAGACAGGGTGACAAAAAAAACTAAAAACTAAAAACAAAACTCTGGTCTGCTCTCATTTTTCATTTTGAGTCACAAGCTCACTGATGCTACTGAGGAGACGCTTCACCTTCTGTTAGTTTTGGACTGTAGCAGCTGCGTAAACCTGCTAAGAGCCAACTGAACCATCGGTCACTGAGACCGAAACCTTTTAAAACTAAAACACAAGGCCTAAAAAACTGCATCCTTTCTTTCCATTCATGCAAGACAGAAATCATTGTATTCTGTAACAAAGACTCAAAGTCACTGCTCAGCTTGAGTCCTAAACGCACAGTTTAGACTGAGCTTTAGCAGCCACGACAAGGTTTTATCATCTCAAACAAATAGCCTACATAGAAATACAAATGTCCCCACAATGTGAGTATTGCTCAGGATGAAGCACGTATAGAGAGAGAGAGAACGGAGCTGCCGGTCTATGAGGCTGATGAGATTTTGTTGTTCAGATTTAGGACTTTAATATCTTTATTATCCAACGTGGGGATATTTATTTGGTCCAGTGCTTCAGACATGAGGACAACATGAAGTCCACAGTAAAAAAAATAATCCTAAAAACAATAGCGTAGATTTAATACCACAACAGACTCTTAATAAAGCACATCTGATCACGTCTTTGTGGTCCCACTGTCTGACTGACGGATGGGTAAAAAGTGATAGTGACGAGCTCAGAGTTTTACCCAAAGTTAAAAAATGTTCAACTCTCAGCGACCAGAAACAAAACACAGAACGCTCAGCTCCTATTTTAGCCAGCTATTTTAATTTACTTTGTATTGTGTTTTTAAGCTTGAAAAGTATTTTTTTTGCCACAACACTGATATGTCATCAACTTTTAAGCTGATATTGTGAAGGTGTTAGCAAACAGACTTTGTGTTTGTGTCATATAATGAATCTAAATCTGATATTCTCTCTCTTTTAGCTCTGTTTTTGGTCTCCACCACCTCCTGAGGTGAAATTACAGTCTCTTTATCTGATAAATGCTCCACTATGTTCAGCAGCTAGTCTCTGACTGAGTCTGTCTGCTGCTGAGCTTCTACCTTCTCTGAAAACAATGAGAATGAACAACAACAATGGGCTGAACGTCACTATAAAAGCTCTGTAAAGGCAGAAGAAATATTGATTTTTAGATGTATAGCCTTGTGTAAAGGTGCTACACAAATAAAGTTGCCATGCTTTGCCTTAATTTCTGTTTTTGTCCTGAGTGACCTGCCTTGTTTCTGAACTCTTGAATCAAATAAACTAGTGCAGACTCTCTCACTAAATCACAGCTATAATCAGCCTTTTTATTGTACACTGTGCGCTGCCTTAAACGGGCTAAATACAAAGATGTAACACAGCGAACATCCCCACTACTCAAAAGCTGGGATCACCTTTCTTATAGTTTGTATACTATATATACATATCTACAGCATATTCATTATATTTACGGATGCACACATAGAATTTTGGTTTTGTATCAATTCAGAATAAAATGTTTGTTACATTTTTTTCCAATAAAGCCTCTGAACTCTCACACAGTTGTGTTTCAGTTAATCTTGATTAGATGTCTCAGAACTGTGTTGGCTTTAATAAACTCTAATTGTTAGCTTTGTTGAACACCTTTATCGTTTTTATCAGTAGTTTGTGACTGAATTAATAAATTTGTTATCTTCTGCTTGAGTTTTAGAATCATTTATAGTGAGTTTAAACGAGATAATCTATGGAGAGATACATATTCTAAACACATTCAAGACGTCTCACGATGTCCTGATTTGGCCTGAACTAAACCAAACTAAGTGTAATAAAAACAACGTTGAGGTACTTGTACTTATTCCCTTTTGATGCCAATTGTTAAGCTCTACTCCACGACATGTCACAGAGATATATTTAGAATATATCTAAAATATTCATTTTACAGCTACAGATACCAGTTCCTGTGCAAGTTATATATAATACAAACTCAATAAAAAATAGCTCCACCTTGACCAATGACAACATTCAAATGCTTTCACGTTCATGCATTAATAATAATAATAATAATAATAAATCAACATGATCAACTCTAAAAGAAGGCTTTCTGCATAATGAGCACTTCTGGTACTTTAAGTATAATTTATAGATGAAACTTCTGTACTTTTACTTTGAATTGAAGTTGTTTTACCTGTGTTGGGAGTATTCTTACATTCCTGTATTACTACTGTAACTCGGATATATTAATGCTCATGTCTGTGGAAACATACAGTCATTCTGCAGCAGCTGGTGCTGTATTTCATATCTGGATGTGCAGCCCAAACACGCATTTGTTTTAAATTTACGATTATAATATTGGGACCATTAACGGGTTAAACGAGTAAAGGGTTGATCAGAAATGTGACCAGTGTGTTTTCAATAGAGCACGTGAATGCACTTAAAATAATTAAGGCAAATCAAATGTGAAAAGGCGAGCAGAATAAAGAGCTGAAAGTATCATTTAACAGTCATGTTTCCTGTCTAATCATGTGGAACAGATGTAATGGACTCACTTCATCTTCATCAGGCTCAACTCTCGGTGTGGATCCAGAAGGTCGTGTCCTCGCGGAGCCTCCGGACAAGTGCACGTCGGAAATTTGTGTCCGTTTGTTAGACTCAAAGTCCGTCTGCGACACAAAGACCGACGTCGGCTTTGACCGACAACCGAGACCGCCGAGAGGAGAGGAGGTGAAGAGAGGAGAAACTGGGGTGAAGGCAGTGTTAAAAGACCAACACCTCCTCCTCCTCCTCCTCCTCCTCCTCCAGCCTGGAAAATCATAATCCTGCTGAGGGTGAAGAACAAAAGAAGGGTGCTTATAGATTATTTTTACTTTTTCTGTTTGTACAGTTAAAGCTAAGTGGTTCCCAAAACTATTATGATTTGATTTAATGAGGTGTGTTGTGCATTGACCTTGAACTGCCCTATTTTAGGTGATAATAAATCACAATTAAAGCTGCAATATCTGACCTTTTTATGGCCACTAGGGGGCAGAGGAGCAAACAAACTGATGCTAATGTACGATTTCATTAGGATTCATTCACTGTCCGTTTCTAGAATTTAAACAACTTTAGAAGTATTTTAAATTCAATATGTATGGCATTAATATAGCAAACAAGTATTTTTGACAATTGTTCATATTGAGGAGAATCGTTGTCAGAGCGCTGAGTCTTTTATGCTTTTTTAAGCTTCGAGCGCTGCAAGTTGAAAATCTCTGAACTTTTCAGAAAAGCGCCGGTGACGTCGCAGAGAATGAAAGGGAAGCTTGTTTTGGCCGCGATGACATTACGTTAAAAAAAAAGAAGTTCGTTTCAGGCAACAAAACCACGTAGTTAGGTTGAGGAAAGCATCATGGTTGGGCTTAAAATAACTACGCTTTTTATTTAAGGCAACGAAACTAACAGTCACCAGGGGGCGACTCCTCTGGTTGTATAGAAGTCTATGAGAAAAT